GGGGGGGGGGTAAATGAGGATTGAGTGTGCACGCACGTGTAAGTATATAAACACACGAGTCTATCCTGGCGTGTCGTTGCAGTAACACCTGCAAGACACGCCAAGGGCCCCTGGGGGCCTTCCATCGTCCTGGATCGAAGTTGAGTCGGCGATCTGGAAGACGACATCGAGACTCCCGGTTATTTTCACTCATTTCAACAGAAATTTCATTCAACCACCGGGGAGACAAGGGAAATTAATTAGAGAGAGGTGATCACGGCGCCTGCCGCTTCGGAATTATTATTATTCATCATCCGCTGATAATTTACGACAGGAATATTCACATAGAGAAAATTCCAAATGTTGGAAAAATTATGCAGATTGGTAATAACGGCCAATAAAAAGGTGTTCATTCCGGAGGTGAATGTACGGACACAGAGGAAATCCTTGTTTCAAGGAAAAAATCATTTACTTCAAGGAACCCTTGTTCACTTTGTTTTTTCTTTAAAATATTTTTTTGTGATTTTTCGATTTTTTTGAAGGAGATGACAAGATTTTCATGATTAATGCGGATATTCAGCAAATAAATAACTCAATAATACACAAAAAAATTTGTTTGACATGATAATTATACGAATAATAAGAAAATAATCGCGGTTATTATTGTGAAATATATATGGAATACTGTATTATAATTATTAATATATACTTAATTGAACTGTATAATATGCAATGCTGATTATTTTTGTAATGATAATTTTGAATAATTGAATTTTTCAGTGAATTCGGGAGGACCTCGACATCATGGAGCTCACGACAAAGTGGCGCATTCCTCCGCCACTGACCCTGGCACTGGTCCTCCTCTCGGTTGCGCGACTATCCGACGCCGTGTCCGAGAGTATCATCGGTAAGAGACCTGTTTATTCTTCCGTTATGTGCACGTGTACTCTCAAATATATAATAACACCACCGAGCGAGTGAGAAATTTGAGCGGATACGCTGGAATGTGGAAATGAGGAAATCTAAGGACGATTGTCTCGTAAAACAAAATGCATAAAAAATTGGAATATGCGTGGGGAAGGGCATCAGGATCATTTGCTGGAAGGAAATTTAATCTGAGCTTTTCTCGGATGCGTGTGTACTCGTGTGGGACGCACACGCCTAACATTCGACATAGGAGGAAAATGTCGGAGTTAATTTCACTCAACATAATCGGGCATTTTATGTTCCTCCAGGTTTATCACCTCATCTTGCTGTAAACTACCAGCATAAACGCATTAATTTTATTGCATATTACGAAAAATTATCATGCAAAGGTATCCTATAAATTGTGATAAATTGTCTATGAAGTTGGATGAGAGGATCTGATGCAATGAAAGGTTGATGAAAGAGATTTTAAAGTTGTATGATGAATCTCCGTGATTTGACCCGTGCAATTGACCTTTTCACATGTATACGTCTTGTGGTTTTCAGTTCAAATTTCACACTCCAAGTTAAACCATCACAAGTTGGCCCACGTTGCACTCGAAATGGATAAAGCCTATTCATGAAGGTTGCCATTATGATGATTATCATGATTTTTGGCTCAATTCAATTTCACCCATATTACTATTCTAGGATATTTGGCCCGTACAGCAGCCACACTATGTTGCCCATAATTTTAACGTAAGATTTCCAAAATCATTCATGCAGCTGAAGTTGCAGTCAGAATTATTCACGGGTGAAATAAATTTGACCCACATCATCACGCAATTTGGGCCACAATAAATATGCTGTATTCTAGAAATCATTAAGGAATTCAATTGTCGTCATAACATTCGGGTGAAATGGTGTAATTAGAGTAAATTTGAGCCACACGAATAAATAATGTGGTCCAACATCAATTCCCCGAAAGCAACACCACCCTGAAAGCCTGATGTCACTTGCAGAGTGCCTGAAAATGAATTATCAAAAATTTATGTGCACTCAGATAACCATTAATTCAAGAGGAAATCCCCCGGGTGTTGAGAGATATCGTTACCCAAAAATTCATTGCGCATTACAACGGCGTTAATCGGTGGGTTACGGTCCATATGTCTTATGTTGGCTTAACGCTTCTATTCTTAGGATTGTATCG